GTGTATGATGCAACAAGCTTGGCACACCTGGATTTGGGGAGTTTTTCCCTTCCAACCTTTCTTCCTTGCACATCCTCTCAAGCTCAGTGAGGTTGGATGGGCAGCGTTGGTGCACAGCTACTTTCAGGTCTTTCCAAAGATGTTCAATCGGGTTCAAGTCTGGGCTCTGGCTGGGCCACTCAAGGACATTCAGAGAATTGTCCTGAAGCCACTCCTTTGTCTTCTTGGCCGTGTCCTTAGCGTCATTGTCATGCTGGAAGATGAAGCATCGCCCCAGTTGAAGGTCTCGAGCGCTCTGGAGCAGGTTTTCATCAAGGATTTCAATGTACTTAGCTGCATTTATTTTTCCCTCGATCCTGACAAGTCTCCCAGTTCCTGCTGCTGAAAAACATCCCCACAGCATGATGCTGCCACCACCATGCTTCACTGTAGGGATGGTATTGGCAAGGTGGTGAGCGGTGCCTGGTTTCCTCCAGACATGACGCTTGGCATCCAGGCCAAAGAGTTCGATCTTTGTTTCATCAGACCAGAGAATTTTGTTTCTCCTGGTCTGTGAGTCCTTCAGGTGCCTTCTAGCAACGTCCAAGTGGGCTGTCATGTGCTTTTTACTGAGGAGTGGCTTCTGTCTGGCCACTCTACCATAAATGCCTGACTGGTGGAGTGCTGCAGAGATGGTGGTCCTTCTGTAGGGTCCTTCATCTCCTCAGAGTAACACTGGAGCTCTGCCAGAGTGACCATCGGGTTCTTGGTCACCTCCCTGACCAAGGCCCTTCTCCCCCGCTTGCTCATTTTGGCTGGGCGGCCAGCTCTAGGAAGAGTCCTGGTGGTTCCAAATGTCTTCCATTTCTTAATGATGGAGACCACTTTGCTTTTTGGGATCTTCAATGCAGCAGATATCTTTCTGTAACCTTCCCCAGATCTGTGCGCCGATACAACCCTGTTTCGGAGGTCTACAGACCATTCTTTCGACTTCATGGCTTGGTTTGTGCTCTGACGTGCTCTGTCAGCTGTGGGATCTTATATAGACAGGGGTGGCTTTCCAAATCATGTCCAATCAGCTGAATTTGCCACAGGTGGACTGCAATCAAGTTGGCGGAACATGTCAAGGCTGATCAGTGGAAACAGGGTGCACCTGAGCTCAATTTTGTGTTTCATAGCAAAGGGTGTGAATACTTATGTATATGCAACATATGAGTGTCTTATTTTTAATAAATTTGCAAAATGTTCCAAAAATTTTTTTTTTGCTTTGTCATTATGGGGTATTTTGTGTAGAATATTTGAGGGGAAAAAAGGAATTTAATCCATTTTGGAATAAGGCTGTAACATAACAAAATGTGGAAAAAGTGAAGTGGTATAAATGCTTTCCTGATGCACTGTACATCACTGTAACAGTCCAGCAGTAAGGGAGAGCAACCTCTGTAAGACCACCTTCTTAAAACCCCCACAGAAGGGTGGCAAAAGACATTTTTTGTCTAAATATGTGTGGCACCCAGCATTCAGCAACACTACCATAAACAGTATTACCATGTGAATTTTTAGCACAGTATTTATATTTTACTTTTTACAAAAAAAAAAAACATATTATCAATACTGCTAATCTGTGACACTCCTACTCTACATTTAGCATAAGCGATGGGAAATGATAAGATGGCATTAGTATCAATGCTGTTTTTGTTTCTGCTGTTGTCAAAAACAACAAATTTTATTACAGGTTTTCTTAGCTGTCAGTTTCAGGAAGTGAGCAGATTTTACATTAAGTGTCCGAGTAGTCCAGTTCTATTTTCAGAGCCGATGCTGTTGTCATATGTATGACAGCGGCTTGTTCCACTTCTGTCCCTCATGGTTACGTCTTTGACCTGTCGGTTGATGCTTGCACTGATTTATCTCACCATTGTTTTAAAGCACTGGGAACTAAGACCAGACATCTGTACAGGAAATGGTTAGCATAAAGACAAATTATACTGATAGCTCAAACTAGTTGGAACCATTTCTCATCAGGGACCAATTCTGGATTCCCAACCATAGGTAGCATTGTATTCATTAATACTTAGATAATAATTACTTACAAGATTGTTATTAACATTGATTAATACTAATCTTGTGTTTGCTAAAATGAACCATTGGAGAATATGCAAAACTACTTCTATGTGCCTAAATTTAGTCAGTAAGCGATGGCACCTTTTCAAACACATCGTTGACAATTTAGAGAGAGTGTGAATCTCTGACCGAAGAAGATCTGATCTTGGATGTTTTGAAAGCAGAAAGATCCAGTCCTTAAAATTTTCAAATACAAATTAAATGGATGAAAAAGAGAATGGAGATGCAAACCAAACGATACTACATCTGTTCCCCCAGTACCAGACCCGTCCTCTGGATGATTTTGGTCAAGTGAGTGCTTCCACTCTTCACAGATTCTAATATCACCCAGCAGCAGCCATTACATCATATCTTCTGCTTTAATGGCACAACGAGGCTAAGACCTCAGCAGGCATGTCACATCTGTAAGCTACTTTGCAGGCTCCCGGCCCCTGAAATGAGATTGATAAAGTGGAGGAGAAATTCCTTTTCCATGAGACATTGAAACTCTGAACAGCACTGTGACCACAGAGAACATGGAGAAAAGCTGCACATCATTTTCAGTTTGGACTTTCTGCTGCACTTGCGTGGCTTCTCGCTATTGTGGCAGTAACTCTCTCCAGACCACTGAGGAAAAAACTGAAAGACAGCCACACTGTTCTCACACACACACACACACACACACACACACACACACACACACACACACACACACACACACACACACACACACACAAAACGTCCATCCCTGTCTGTGTCCCACTACCTCTCTTTCAGGTTAATGAAGTGTAACCATCTTGACAGAGGAGACCAGCGTATAAAACCCACTTGAGGAGGAGGGGAAGGAAGTGAAAGAAGAGGAGGAAGACATGGAAAAGGAGGAGGAAGAGAAGTAGGAGGAGGAGGAGGTCACAGCCTCCATATTTCCAAAGTAAACAAAAACACATACATCACACACAGATACACACTTTTACTGAAGCATCCAGGAACACCCCAGTGTCACCGTGTGCATGTGCATATGTGCTTTTCTGTGTTAGAGCCCTCATGGAAATGTTCTCCCACATATTACATCTGTACGATACTACATCTGTTCCCCCAGTACCACTCCCCTCCTCCCCTCTGATCTGAGTCCAGATGACATTCCTGTCTGGCCGGTTTCATCACAGCCCATGATGAATGAGGCAGCCTCATTTACATGATAAACTGGATCTGGAGACACAGAAATGAGAGGAAACCCACATGAACTCTGGATGTCTGGGTGGAACAGCCCTGCCCCTCTAATAAAAAAACTGCCAGTAGAGACAGGATGCTAGGTTAAGAGACAGGTGTGCATGTCTTTGCAAGTCTGTTATGGGTCTTATTGTTGGAGGTCTTTGGATGTCCTTGCGTGCCCTCTGCATGACCTTGACAGTTGCTGAAACACTAAATTAACTGTGTTTGCCCTTAGTGAGTAGCTGTTGTGGGTGTTTTCCTCCCTTTCCTTTTCTTTCCTTACTGTTTATTAACTTTTTCTATGCAGATGATATACATAGTGACACTTTCTGATGCTCACGTCCAGAGGTGGACAGTAGCAAAGTAAATTTACTCAAGTACTGTATTTAAGTACATATTTAAGTATCTGTACTTTACTTTTTTGGGGAAATGAATTACTTTTACTCCAATAACTTTGATAGAAAAATGTTATACTTTTGGCTCAATACATTTCTAAGCATGTTCTTGTTACATGGGCTGTCTTAAGGTTTTTAAAGTAAATAATGATTTGAATGGCTCTAAATGTATTTTTAGGTGTTCTTGTTATTTCTCCTATCATTTTAGAGCTGTTAATCTGTAAATCTATGGCGTGCCTCTTTAAAAAGTGTATATGATGTTTTCTAATTAAAGACAATGTTGCAGAATGTACACCCATGTATTCTTGACTGCACACATGCACTGTAAAATCCAACAGTGTTTTAAGTAGCCACTTTGAATACTTAAGTATCTTTAAAAGCAAATAATCCAGTACTTGAACTCAATTAATAGATTGACTGAGCAACATTTACTTGTATCGAGTAAAATTTGACCAGGAAGATCTATACTTTAACTCAAGTAATAAGGTTAAGAACTTTGTCTACCACTGCTCACAACCAAAGAAAATGTCTGAACTTAATACTTTCAGTTTCTGTGATAGAGACATATAACCAAGTGTCATCAGCATACCAATGATACAGTCTATGGCATTGATTCCCAAATAATGTGCCAAGGCATACTGGTGTGCCATGAGGCAAGTCCAGGAGTGCCATGGGATTTTGTGGTAACCATAATATACAACCGTTGCAATATACAACTACACAAAAATACAAATTTTTTATTATACTTTATCAGTACTTTGTATGCACTCAATTCATAATACAGAGGCAAACTCTGCACCCAAAAAACAATTCTTAAAAAAAAAAATCCTCAAAGAGGACCACAGATTTCAGTGTTTGCGCAGTCAGGAATTATAAACAAAGTTAAAACAGAGAAAGGGAAAATGGAGAGCTTTCCAGCGGGGAACAAACCACTAAATACCAGTGCTGTGACTGCCGACAACCCACCACTGATCCTCCACAGAGGTACGTTGGCTGTCACAAGGGAAAGTCCTATATCATCTTCATAAGCTTCAGGAAGAGCTTTTGGAATTTTCATATGAACACACTGTCCCACATAAGGACAAACTCACAGAAGATGGTGCACCAGGCTGGCTTATCTTGCAGACATATTTGGGCATCTCAATGAGTGAAACGCCAAGCTTCAATGCAGGAATGAAAACCTCTGCTGACTTTCCTTAGCCTCATTTGGAATTTTGTGATCTGTTTTGTTTAAATTAGAGTGTTGTTGCTTTGGTGCTTTTTGAGGACCCAGAAGCAGACACAGAGGCAGATAGCAAATTAAGATGTAATTTTAATGTCCAAACTGAAGGGTAAAGCAAAAGAGAAAGTCTTGTTGGCTGGCTGGCTGTTGTGTGGGCTGGAGACACTGCAGAGAAAACAGAGGAGATGGAAGTGAGTAGGCATATAAAGAATCACAGGGAGCAAAGTTACCAGCACTTATCCAAAAAGGAGGCCAGGAGACGCGTCTGTATCACTTGGGAGTGAAGACAATACTCTGAGACTGAGGGCTGCTGGCTTCTTAAAGGCCTTGATTGCAGATTCCGTGCAGGTGTGGAGTCTCACTCAGCCTCAGCATCCGGGGAGGGGGAGGGTGTTCTGGAAAAGAGTCAAGCCAGATCAGGCAAACAAAGTAAAACAGGAAGTCCAACCAAAATAAAACAAGAGGAGGAGGCAGCTCACCACAGTAACCCCCTCTCAACGAACGCGTCTTGGTGTTCTGCCGGGTTTGTTGGGGTGAGCGGCGTAGAAGTCGTCGAGGAGCTGATGGTCCAGGATGAGGGAGAGGGGGATCCAGGACCGCTCCTCTGGACCGTAACCCTCCCAATCCACAAGGTATTGGAAGCCTCGTCCCCGAGGCTGCACGTCCAGGATTTGTCTCACAGTGAAGGCATGGTGGTCGTCAATCAACCGGGGGGGGGCTGGACGGGCGACGGAAGGAGGGCGTCATACCTTATTTAGGGAGACATACCTTATTTATGGGCGTACTGGATCCATGGGAGGTGTGTACTCCAGGACGCTGGATGATGGGCCGCCACACACCGCAAAGCTGACTCGAGGTTTTGATTGGCCCGCTCCCTCTGGCCGTTGGTCTGTGGGTGGTAGCCAGAGGAGAGACTGGCTGCTGCGCCTACTGCCTGACTGAAAGCTTTCCAGACCTGGGAGGAGAACTGGGGACCTCGATCTGAAACTATGTTGATGGGGATACCATGTAGTTGGAACACATGAGACACTAGGAGGTTAGCAGTTTCTAGGGCAGACGGGAGCTTGGGTAACGGGACATAATGTATGAATTTGGAAAATCTGTCAATGATGGTGAGTATGATTGTGTTACCTTCAGAAGGGGGGAGACCAGTGACGAAATCTAGGGCTATTTGAGGCCAGGGGCGTGAGGGCACAGGCAGAGGACGCAGCAAGCCAGCCGGAGGTTGGTGGGAGGCTTTACCTTGGGCACAGACAGAGAAGGCAGCAACAAACGCCCATACGTCCCAGACCACCCCCGGCCACCAGAACCGCTGCTGAAGGAATTGGAGGGTGCACTGAAATCCGGGGTGGCAGGTGAGTTTAGAAGAGTGCCCTCACTGTAGGACCTGGGAACGTGCAATCTCAGGGACGAACTTTCTGTCAGGAGGGCCGGTTCCAGGGTCTGGGTGCTTCCGGAGGGCCTTGTCCACAATGGTGTCGATCTCCCAGGAGGCGGAGCCGATGACACAGGAGGCAGGGAGGATGGTGTCCGGTTCTCTAGGGTCAGAGGTAGCCGAGGAGTGGATCCAAGATAGGGCATCAGGTTTGAGGTTGCGGGAGCCGGGATGATAGGAGAGGGTGAAACAGAATCTGCTGAGGAAGAGGGACCAGCAGGCTTGCCTGGAGTTAAGGTGTCGGGCAGAACAGAGATATTGCAGGTTCTTGTGGTCAGTCCAGATGAGGAAGGGTTGTTGTGCTCCTTCCAGCCAGTGTCCGCCCCCACTCCCACTCCAGAGTCCGAAACGTCGACCTCCACCACGAATTGGAGAGAGGGATCCGGTTGTTTGAGCACCGGGGTGGAGATGAATAGAGACTTGAGCTGACAGAAGGTGGCGTCAGCTTTAGGGGTCCAGGAGAACGGGACTTTGAGGGATTTGAGACAGATGAGAGGCACAGCCACCTTGCTGTAGTTCCGGATGAATCTCTGGTAAAAGTTTGCGAAGCCGAGGAATTGCTGGAGGTCTTTGCGGGAGGAGGGAGTGGGCCAGTCACAGACGGCGCAGACTTTCTCCAGGTCTGGGCGTTGCTCCCCCTGAGCAATGATATATCCTAAAAAGCTAACAGAGGAGGCGTGGAACTCGCACTTCTCGGGTTTGACGGAGAGGCGGTTCTCAAGGAGGCGCTGGAGGATGAGTCGAACATGCTGTTGATGTTCCTCCAGGTTGCAGGAGAAGATCAGGATATCGTCCAGATAGACGAAGGCAAATTGGTTGATCCTGTCACGGAGGACGTCATTAATGAGAGCCTGGAACACAGCGGGGGCATTGGTGAGGCCAAAGGGCATGACGAGGTACTCAAAATGGCCCATGATTGTATTGAAGGCCGTCTTCCACTTGTTACTCTCCCTAATAACCAGGTGATAGGCATTCCGGAGGTCCAGCTTGGAGAAGATGGTGGCCTTGCAGAGAGGTTCGAAGGAGGGATCGATGAGTGGCAGGGGATATTCGTTTTTAATGGTGATCTCATTGAATCTGCGGAAGTCGATGAAGGGACGGAGAGAGGAATCTTTTTACTTCACAAAGAAAAAACCAGCAGCAAGGAGAGAGGATGGGTCGGATGAGTCCAGATGTCAAGGAGTCCTGGATGTACTCCTCCATGGCCTCTCGTTCGGGCTGAGAGAGATTGTACAGTCTGCTGCTGGGGAAAGGGGTGCCAGGGAGCAAATCTATGGCGCAGTCATATGGGCGATGAGGAGGAGGAAGGACGAGAGACTGCTCCTTACTGAAAACCATGGCCAGATCATGGTAAATGGGGGGAACACAGGCGAGAGATGGCGGTGGTGATGCTGACCTCTGTCGGTGGATGTAGGGATTGGCGGAGCGGAGGCAATGAGAGTGGCAGTGAGGACTCCAGGTGGAGGTCAAAGCTGTGGACCAGTTAATTTGGGGGTTGTGGATCTGCAGCCACGGGAGTCCAAGCACAAGGGGTGAGTGCAGAGAGGGAAGCAGGAACAACTGGATGTTCTCACGATGGTTTCCCCGAGAGGATGAGGGTGAGAGGAGTAGCGCAGTGGGTTATGGTGGCTATAACCCTGCCATCGAGAGCAGTGACCTTACGGGGAACCGGGAGTTCCTCCAGGGGGAGCTGAAGCCGTGCTGCCATTCCGTGAATGAAGTTGTCTGCCTTGGAGTCAATCAGAGTTTGGAGAGATGTAGATTCTTTTCCCCACAGGAGGCAAGCAGGTACGGAGATACGCCTGGGAGAGCGGGAGGTAAAGGAGGTGTGGCTGATTTGCATGGGTTCTCCGGCAGAGAGCGCCGGAGCCAGAGAAACTGAGGGCTGCAGAGGAGACCCACTGACCGCGAAAGAGGATGGGGAGTCTACGCTACAAGTAGGGGAATTTAATTTCTTCTCCCTCCGTCTCTCCCTGAGGCGATTGTCTAACCTAATGGCTAGAGCGATTAGCTCCTCAAGTGAGGAGGGTTCATCATGAGCTGCTAGCTCATCTTTAAGCTGTTCAGACAGACCACGAGAGAATAAACCCTTTAATTCTAGTTCCCCCCACCCACTCTCGGCCGCCACTGTGCGGAACTCAATAGAAAATTCTGCCACTGACCGAGAGCCCTGGGTGAGGGAAAACAACCGTTTCGTACACTCGGGACCCTCGACAGGATAATCAAACACTTTTCGAAGTTCCTCAGTGAATCTGGCATATGAGGACAACATCGGCGAACCCTTATCCCAAATGGTAGTAGCCCACTTAGCCGCTTTGCCTCTCAACAGGTTCACGGTGTAGGCTATCTTGGACTGATCCGAGGGTTAACTAATTGGCTGTTGATCAAACACTAACTCACAGCAGCGCAGGGAACCTCTGCAGCCCCCAATCTCCCCAGCATACGGCTCAGGAGGAGGGACATAGGGCTCTTTAACGTTAGGTGAGGGTGAAGAAGGTGGAGAGGGAACCGTACTCACAGAGGGGGGAGACCCAGATTGCTGCGGTGGAAGCCGAGAGAGGAGTTGCTCCGCCAGTTGCGCTACTTGGACTGAGAGACATTGGAAGGACTGATTGAGGCCCTGGAGCATATCCTCATGGTGACCGAGGCGAGTCCCTAGCTTGTGGACGGCTTGCCTGAACCTGTCTGGGTCTGCTGGGTCCATTATCCTGGCCTGAGTATTCTGTGGCGTGTGGTGTATTTTGAGGACCCAGAAGCAGACACAGAGGCAGATAGCAAAACAGCCAGCTAACTGGCTGGCTGTTGTGTGGGCTGGAGACACTGCAGAGAAAACAGAGGAGATGGAAGTGAGTAGGCATACAAAGAATCACAGGGAGCAAAGTTACAAGCACTTATCCAAAAAGGAGGCCAGGAGACGCGTCTGTACCACTCGGGAGTGAAGACAATACTCAGGTGCTTAGACTGAGGGCTGCTGGCTCCTTAAAGGCCTTGATTGCAGATTCCGTGCAGGTGTGACGTCTCACTCAGCCTCAGCGACCGGGGAGGGGGAGGGTGTTCTGGAAAAGAGTCAAGCCAGACTAGGCAAACAAAGAAAAACAGGAAGTCCAACCAAAATAAAACAAGAGAAGGGTTGAGTCTCACCACAGCATTAGTAAATAATTATGCACATTTATAGACAGGGATGGACTGGGACAAAAAATTTGCCATGGACTTTTTGGTCCAGACCAGCCCACTACAATCCGTGTGCAGATACTGTGTGAACTCACCCGTTGATGTACACTAATGCTGTACACTACTCCAATTTTTCAAGTTTTTATTGAAATTCAAGCATTTCAAGTCCAATGAACAGCTTGAAAGGGTACAAAGGTTATAGGGGTGGAGCCGAACCCAAATACGGTATTCGGAAAGGCACAAATAACATGTTTTTTACAAATATTTATTTAGAACAAATACTTAACAAATACAACTACAAAAAATACACTACTGAAAAATAATGTACATTTCAGGATTATAAAAAAAAATGACTTTTTCCAGGGAACAAGAAATGGGTTAACAACTTAAAGCAGTTCTGCAGCAATTGAGGTTGATTAAGCCTTGAAAGTCGGTGCTACCAATTCCTACAGGTGTCCCAATTTATCTTGATCACTTACAACCCCCTCTGTCTGCATAGAAGTAATTTTGGAATACAATGTGATACCATACTGTTGTGAGCATTGTTTGAACAGTAATGTAATTCAGAAAGTAGTGTGTTACAATAAAAATGGCGAGGAAAAGGCAATTAATGATAGAGGAGAGACAGGCCACCATAACACTTATAATAAATATAGGTCTTTTCTACAGAGAAATTGCCAAAAAAGTCAAGTTGTCAGTGAGTACAGTTTCCTTTACCATCAAAAGACACTCACAAACTGGGGGAAACACTGGCAGGCAGAGGTCTGGCAGACCCAAAGCCACAACAGCATCAGAAGACACGTTTCTGAGAGTCAACAGCTTGTGTGATAGGCGGCTCACAGGACAACAGCTTCAAGCACAGCTTATTATTGGTGGCAGTAAGCAAGTCTTAGTTTTAACTGTTAAGAGAAGACTTCGAGTTACAAGGGGCTTGCTCGGGCCATGAAACACCGCCATTGGACTACTGAAGACTGGAAGAAGGTGTTATGGACTGATTAAACAAAATTTGAAATCGGTTCATCACGCAGGATTTTTGTACGCTGTCAAGTAGGTGAAAGGATGATTCCTCAGTGTGTAACGTCAACTGTCAAACATGGATTTTAAACACGTTTGGTTATTTACCAAACTTCATTTTAAATAACGGTAAGTGATTTCTGCCTGTATTCACAGTCTGATCCACAGCAACACCAGTGACATAAGTCTGATCCCAAACTGATGGACCTCTGATGTAAGTCAAGTGACTATGCTGAGTTTGACAGCCCAGTAGCTGGGTGAGGACTTAAACATTAAAAACAAACAGCATAATTTTGACACAGGAATGCTCAAACTGCAGGGAAAAGATGAATTACACGAAAAGAATCACAACTTTTATTATAACTTAATATATGTACATCTACTCTCACTAAATCCTAAAACTAAGTCTTTTTTACCCACTAATAAGCACAACCTTGGCATTTAAAAAAAAAAAAAATGTAAACATGATAACGATGTTAGCCATTGGAGCAGGTAATCTCTGACTATCAGCTCAATAAAATTCATTCAGTGGATCCCTGGTAGAAAATTTCAGGGGTAGAGAGATTTTCCTCAATCAGACATGATTACTATGAACTGAGCTAGACCATTCTCCACTGTTGTCCCCGGTGGTTGAACGAGTCTTTCAGCTACAGTTGACGCTCACTGTCCTGCTCTACTCTGGGAATTGATGTTCAGCCCTTGAGTGATCCAGCACTTGGTACCTTGTTAGTTATTTGGTGGTGATGAGGATAGGTGTTGATTCCGTCTTTGTTGATGTTCCAAAAAAAAATTCTTACTCACTGGTGTGCATTGCCTTTTAAACTGTGTGGCAGTACCTGTGTCCAATTGGACTTGAAGCACTTATTGCTTTTACTGATCTAGTTTCCTCTTGTCTAGATCTTTGCTTGTGTTGTTCTCGTATGTACATTGCCTTGGATAAAAGTATCTGCTCAATGACACTGTAACATGGTCACATTGTAACAGACATACACCATCTTACACGGCTGCCAGAGGGAATAAATCCTGAGAGATCCCTTCATTCTGCTTACTGGGAATTTGACTCCATGTTAATCTAAACAAGAGACAATTTGGCAGGAGGCACAGCCAGGGGATGACACTCTACTGAAGGGACAGAAAGGAAAAAACGTGTCACTTGTGGTAGTCCAGTGTATTTCAAGTGCAGACTGTTGGAGCACAATAACTGTGATAGAAAACAGCATTGTTCTTTAGTTGTCCAAGATAAAAATCCTTTCTTGGACAGAATAAGCAAGGTCCATACAAGAGGTATAAGCTCGGGGAAGCACATTGTTCCAGGTTAGACATGTTCAAAGGACTGAGACTTTGAAAACTGTGGTAATGGCTAATTGTACCATTTAGCCTGGGGGAGGCAGGGGGAAGGATTTAGGATGTACCAGAAAGATGAGCTGAGTAGAATTAAGTGAAACAGATAGGATTTGACAGAGGTCAAATAGATACAGTCATATGTTGTTGCCAGTAGGTGGCGCTGTGTTTTTAAAAAAAAATTCAAAGGTGGATATCTTCAGACTGGAACACCTTGTTAGCACAGGAAATGTTTAGCAGATATGTGGATGTAGGGCTGAGCTAGAGCAGTTTGACATTTTATGATTAGGCATCATGTCCAAACCCTGTAGACCACACCCACTGATGAAAAACACAGCTTTAAGCACACATCATGACCAATTTCTCTGTCTCTGTTAGCAGTCATTGGATAACTATCATAAAAGATGCCAACAAATGACATTAAATTACAAACAAACAAACATTACATTTAAACAAAGTCATGTTGGTTTTGATGACACAGTTGTTGTGCCTTTGAAGCATCAGACTGGTTGAGAAGGACCTGCTGCAGACACAAGTCAAAGAAAATAAATATTTTTCCAAATTAGCCAGATAAAAAATGCTTGACTCAGTGTAAGGATACTTTCTTTATATTATCTCACTGGATCAGCATCAGCACAGCAATGATGCATTGTGAGATAGTCTGAACTAAATCATCCAACAAAGGTTATAAATTCAAATATTTAACAAGTTTAAACATCAAAGGTCCTTACAAACCGGCGAATTTGTGGAGCGAAGCGAAAAAGCGAGACGAAAATTGCGAACATTCGCCAGTCCGAAAAATCGCTTTCGCCTATACACACCGGCCGCGAAGCGAATATGCGTATATTTTTTGCAAAGCGAATTAATAAAGTCGCTTTGCGGCACGGACATGACACATGACATCTGTCTCCTAAGGAAGACAAGAGAGTGTCATCTTGTGAGAAAACTACTTCATTAGTAATTCGAAAGAGTTTTGGATGCACCTCAGCTGCCTTTCTCTGCGTTTTCATTATCTCAAACTTCTCCCTCTCCTCCAGCCGTATGGGTCTGTGACGTCATCAACAACATGACTTTTGATTGGCCAGAGGTCTAGCAGGTCCAGATATTCGCCTGCGAATACCCGAAAAATTCGACACAGGAGCGAAAAAATAAAAGCGGCTTTTCGCCCCGCGGAAAAATTTGCCGCCGGTGTGGAAGCTTGCATTGACTTTATGCTGTTTTAAAAAAAGGCGAATAGTTCGCTTGGCGAATTCTGCCCGGTGTGTAAGGACCTTTAGAAAGTGAAACTAGGGTGACCACACGTGGTAAGTTCAGCATAGGAGACCACTTTTATGGCAAGCTATATTATTAAGACAGTTATGTTTACACTCATTCTGTTGGTTTTCAGGGATGCACAACATCTTAAAATATATGCAGATATGCAGATATACTAGTTAGAGACAAAACTATGATTATCTTGATGAAGTGATCCGAAATATGAAAAATGGCTCATCATACCCCACTCTCCCCTGCTTGGTAATTCAACCTATCACAGGGAGACAACAGAGGAGAGGAGTCTTACCAGTGAAATCCAGCTCTATTGTGACGGGAGTTCCAGGCACTTTTTATTGACAGAGAGGTGAGAAGGTGTGGAGATCTGTGTGGAGATCCCAGATAGGCAGGAGCCATGTTTTGTCACAGTTTTTTTAGGAGTAAGTAGGGTTATGAATTTGATGTGAGTGGCAGTTCAAGATATGAACAGTGGTGTGGCATCCTGTTTTTGGTTAGCTGAGACTAGACATGCTGCTGCATTCTGGATCATCTTCTGAGGTTTAAATGTGCATGCAGCTAGTCCTGATAGTACGGAGTTGTAGTTGTCAGTGGGGGATCATAACCATAGACTGTATATAGAATGGACACCGTCTGCCTCCTCACAGGGTGAAGCCACCAAGAGAACAGCATCCTCTGGTGACGGGCTGCAGTATAGATCATAAATCCCGCCTCCTTCAGCAAACTTAATGGAGCTGTGGACAAACTTTAAAAATTAATTTCACAGAATATACATTTTTCTCCTCCCTGGTTGTGATGTTGACATGTAGTTACTGTAAGACTGGTTTGTGCTCAAGTCCTCTTTTTTTCTGTGCAGCTCCATTTTTAAAAAATATTAGGGGGTTCATGTTTTCTCTGATTGACACTTGCATCACCTGGGGGATACGCTGTTTGAGCAGATTGTCATTACAGCCACTCGGCGACTCTCCCGCTGAATGCATACAATGTTACTGTGCAAGTGGTGGTTACAGGAAGTGGAAAAAATCCCTGGAAATACAGAGAGATATTTGGCTTCAAATTAGTATAATGACCGAAAACAGAGCCAAGTTGTCTATGGTATATACAGTCTATGCAATGCAGTCAAAATTAAA